AATAAAACAATATTACAATGTGGAGATGAAGTGGTGGTTTCGGTAATAACCGGACCATGTGACTTGTTTTGGGTAAAGGAGTTTGGTGTCGAGCTTGTGCCAGAGCACCAAGACAAGATGAGTACCCAACACAACACCAAATCAGATCCTAATTATCCACTTGTTATCGGTGGAGATTTGGAGACGTGGAAGTGCAGACCGGGAATATACTTCCTTGGTGGTCGGACAAGTACAGATACTGACGACATTGATATCCTCACCATGGACTCTGATGAAGAAGACACAAGTATGTTGTGTTGTTGTATTGCATTGAATTATACTCCATCGAAACACTTCCAGGTGTGTCTGTATTCATTTCAAAAACGTTTCAATAAATTTTATGTTATTTATATGTTTTTCAGACGAAGAAGGGCAAGAGGATGAATCTGATTACACAATTGCAAAAACGAGGGCTGCTAGCAATAACTGCAGTTTGAGAGGCTGGAAGGTGCACCTCACGGCTGTCGGCTTCTTTTTCGCGCTTGCTCTAGTAAGTTGGTCCTCCCACTCCCGAAAAAAGAAGCGACAGTCGTCCACAAGCCCACCATGAGTTTGTAATTTGACTTGATATGGATATATCTTTGCATTCCTTGCTCTCAAGATGTTTTCTACCTTCAAAACTTCAGGTTCAGAGCTAAGCATTCTTAACCGCTTGAGATATAAATGCCCTTTGTAACTAGATACCGAAGTTCAAATGTGTTCAACTCCATCAAATATAGCATAAAATACATCCAGCATTGAATGCATGTGTTTTGAACTACAAGAAATCTTATACATTGGGTAGACCGTATAGTGTATCACATTCAAATGCAATTATTCATGAAGATGAAGTATGAGATGCCCTAATTGTTTTACCAGAAGATGCTGGATCAATTGTCTCAAAAAATTATTTCGGTAATTGTTGGTAAAACTCAAAGTTATCCAAAAGTTTGGGGTCAGCATAAGCTTATGCATCAGCATCAGATTGTGTCTCCTATCAGACTGAAGGAATAAAATTACTCAATTTGTGCAAATAAAAATAAAAATTTTATAACACATCAAAGAGATAATTAAAGGAGACCTCACAAGCTGTACATCCAAGTGGCAAACAAATCAAAATTTTAAATAAAGCTAATGGCGCATGAAGAGTATTGAAACACTCATAGCCCTCGCACACAGGTTGCATGGTCTTTTCTTATAACAATAAAAGGAACAAATTCATCAAGTCACATTTGGGCCATTAAAAAAAGCTACAAATTCATCTTTCCATGTCTTTATCTCACAAACCCATAATGTGGCAATCCTCCATTAGAAAGGTAACGTACGTTTTGAAAAACGTGGCAAATATTGAATGAGTAATGACGCCTCTAAAAATAAAATTGAATTATTTGAAAGAATCTCTCATAAAATAAAGTAGGGGTAAAGTACAAAAAATTACTTCAAATATTAGTCTCATGACATTGTCATACTTCATCTTTTAAAATTGACAATATCATACCTCATCTTTAGAATTTGGTCAATTTTATACCATCCTTTAGCCTGACCGTTAATTTGTCAGTTAAATACTGACGTGGCTTGATCCAAACCCCACTTTCTATTAAAAAATTAAGAAAATATTAAAAACCCCACCCCCTATCTCTCCTCCCTCATCTTCTTCCCCTGCTCTGCCCAGAAACGAAACGAACAAAAAAAAAAAAAAAAAAATCAAAACCCAATTCGTCCCCACCCCACCCCACCCCCTCTATCTCCTCCCCCATCTTCTTCCCCTGCTGCCCAGAAACGAAACGAAAAAAAAAAAAAAAAACTAAAAATCAAAACCCAGGTCGTCCCCACCCAAGACTTGGGCTCGCACACCCATGGCTCGCCGGACCTGGGTTGGGTGTCCTCTGGGTGCCTCGGAGCTTCACGGAGACGAAAAGAGAAAGGGTTGACGCCAATGATGGTTTTGGTACCGTCGTCGGTGGGTGTGGGTGTGTAAATGGGTGCGTGAGTGTAGATCTGGGAGAGGGGTATAGTCTGTGCGAGAGAGGGGGAGAAAGAGTGAGTGAGCTGAGAGAGAGGGAGATGTTGGCATGGGTGGGGAAGGGTGGGGGGTTGCACGGAGGGGGAACGGGAAGGGGTCGGGGTGGGGGGGGGGGAGATGAGAATGGGTTCTGGGATGCAGAGAAGAGAGAAAGGCGAGAGAGAAGGGGAGAGAGAGAGAGGAGAGAGAGAGAGATTTAATATAAAAATAAAAAAGAGAGGAGAGAGAGAGATTTAATATATATTTTTTTAATTTTTGAATATTTAATTATTAAAAATGTATTTTATTATTTTTTAATCCAATTGGATTGGATTAGTGAGTGGAACACGTGTCGGGCCACGTCAGTATTTAACAGAAAAATTAACAGAAAAACTGACGGAGGTGCGACATTGACACAAATTCCTAAGATAAGGTATGACATTGTCAATTTTAAAAGATGAGGTATGAAAGTGTCGTGACACCAATAGTTGAGGTAGTTTTTTTATACTTTACCCAATAAAGTAACGAATAATCAACAAAAGTAGCAGTACACCAAGTTGAACCTTTTTCAACGTTGAAATGAAATATGAAAGGAGATCAAGTTGATATTAGTCGTCACTTGTATTTTATTTTTTTGAATAAACGATATTGTCTACATTGAGGAGAATGAGTTCGTTAAGCCTTACAATGGGCTAGTAATAATATAGTTCAAATTCGTATTTGGCGAGAATCAAATCTAAAGTTTCTCACTTACAAATGAAGAGAAATATCATTGGACTATAACATTATTCATCTACTTAAAAATAATGAATAATCAAGAAAAACATTGCACGGTCCCCCTCTCGTCACTTACCACTAGTGGCCATCACTTCCTTGAGCAAAAGAGATCTTTCGAATTGCTTGACCAAAATAAGAATTGACTTGGCTGTCCGTCCATCAATAACAGGTCCACATCTCAACCCAAATATAATGACGTCAAATGAGAAGGAAACTCTGGGGGGTACAGGGAAGGAAAATGAGAAAAAGGGAAAAGTTGAAGGGGAAGGAGGAAAATGACAGGAAATTTCGGAGAATAGAAAAAAGGAGAAGGGATAAGAAGGAAAAATGGGAAGGAAGCTTAGGAGGGTAGAGAAAAAGAGGGAAATGCATAAAAATAAAAAATAAAAAAGGAAAGTCGCCTTCATCATTATGCCTACTAACGGAAAGGAGCAACCGCATTGTAAATTATATTTCGTATAATGAGAAACCAGTATTCCTACCCCGAGGATATAGACACAACTTGCCGAATCTCGTTACTATACAGCAAACATATAACTGCACAACAATTCGATCAACCACCTTAAGCTCAATCATAAATGTACCAAGATTCAAGTTTTTCCAAACTTTCCTTATGAAATTAACTGAACATTACAAGTGCCATATTATTATGCGGTTCTATCAAGTTTTAATTTTTGTCTCATAACCACATCATCTTTAGGACAATCAATATTGCAGTTGAATATATAAACCTTCGATATGGTGATATTGGAAACACTAGTTGGTGGGTTAATTGGTAGAAATTGTTCCAACAATTCAAGGACGAGAAATGAGTATTGAGCAACGATCAAAATGTGTTGTATTTTATCACAAAAGATGTTTGTGCAATTAGAAGTACACTAGAAAGTTTGCCCGATCGTTGCTGCGGGAATGTCAAATATATTGTAAGTATTGTATATAAATGTTACATAAGGGAACAAATATGTTGCAAGAATTGTGTGTAGAATTTATAAAACACGTACCAAGTATTTGCATAAAATTTAAAATATATAGTTGTTACTTGTTCAAATTATAACAGCTTGTACAAACATGAGTTTGAAATTCACCTGCCTTAACTTCTCCACACTTTACACACAGAGACCCTTATCTTTTTTGGTGGTTTAAAAGCTTGCAAATCACGGGAGGCTGTCCATTTTGTTACAAAGATGCAGAACCAAAATATATATTTTATCAATTTTCGAGAGCATAAATGGACAAATTAAATTGTATGTAAAGAATGTGTAGCAAAATATCAAATAGCAAAAGAAATCTCAACATAACTCTACCACAACAATAAGGAATCTCAAATAGAAAAAAGGGAGACTTTGGATGCGGTCCCTAGTTATGAATAGTCTTTGACTGAAACCTTGTTGGTTTTCAATTTTTGATCCAAGTCCCTGAAATTAATTGATAATTTATTTCTATGTACGTTACTATATTTTTTAAATTAAAAATTAAAATTTATAGTTGTTTATAGTAATGAGATTTTAAATAAAAAACCATAATTTGTGGGATTAAAAATATTAAAATATAAATATACTATTGTGTGTGTGTGTGTAAACATGGGTACATTCATAAAAAATAACCAAAAAATTATTGTATCAAAACATGGATACATTCTTCTTCAAAATGGGTACATTTAGCAAAAATAAAAATGGGTACAAATAAATAAAAAAAATATGGGTACAATACAAATAAAACTTTAAAAAATATGGGCACAAAAAGAAATTAATATATGGGTACAAATTAAAACTGAAAGGAAAATTGGTACAAATTAAAAAAGGGTTGCAAATTAAAAATGGGTACAAACTAAAAATAAAAATATATGATAAAAAATTTAGCCATAAATATAAATATACTAATTGTAATATTTTTAATATTAAATGAATATATTTAGAAATAAAAAATATTTTATTATTGAAATAATTAATGATATTATTAATACAAAGGATCTTGATCAAAAATTGAAAAGTAATAAGGTTTTAATCAATAGAGTAGTAAAAATAAGGATGAAAACCTAATTACTCCTAGAAAAAATCTACCAACTACCATACGGATGATTTTTAAATGAATAAAAGCCTACCCTATTATGGAGAGCTTATACCTTTCACTTGTTTACTGTTCTTGATGAGTTGCAAAACACAACCAACAAAAGAAAATCAAACAAACATCAAAACAAAGGTCATGCCTGATAAGAAGGTTTCATTTATAATTATTTCTATTTCTACATAAATACTAATAAATTAAGCTCCCAATGATCTGCATAAACATTTGCAAGGCCTTCTTTTCCATCGATGGAAATGACTGAAACAGATTCAACCCATGTCTTAATTACATCAGTTATGTGTTGAACCACCTAAATCGACTCAAATCACTGAAGAAAGGCAATCATCAGCGTTCAAGCAAGTGAAGCAAAAAAGAAAAGGTAGGACACATGAACATTGTGATTTTGTACCATCACCTGGACAGTCTTGCCAACGTAAGGGCAGAGGACAGAAATGAATGAACTCAATTCCAATACGCTAACCGTTAAAGGTATATACGTCATGACAGTCTTATGAATAACCAAATTATCTGAAGTTCAAGATATTGGATAGCTACATACAGATTTGGAGACAAAACCAACAAATCCAGGCCAGTATAGCTTGCGGTGAATAATGTTATCAATGTTCCAGCAGTGTCACCAATCTTAAAAACTCCAGCTTGAATTCCTCCAACAGTAGCTGGGCCAATGACAACCTGCAAAAGATACGATAATTAAAGTTAATATCGCCAGTTCATTTTCCCAGGTTAGTGAAATTAAGATGACTTTGCATCAATCGTGTAACCTTGTTGTTTGCCCATGCATATGCGATCAATTGCTTAGTGTCTGACTCAGGTACACCTTCAGCAATGACCGCCACAACTCTAATGGTTGGTTGCTTGAGAGCAGCCATGGAAGAAGCGGCAGCACTGCAGATATATCAACATACATTCATCGTTAGGTACAACCATAGAAGTTTCGCACTCCAAAACACTACTCATAGAATAATCACTGACCTTCTGTACGAAGCAAAGTTGATTAAGACATCAGCAGTAGGCTGTGCAGTGCGTGATGCTTCAATGTTGCAATAGTTATCAACCCAAAGGTCAGACAATCTCGAAACAACAGATCAAGAATGGTAATCTGACTAATAACATGATTTGAATATATTAGATATGGAAAATTAAGATTAACCAAGCATACATGCATATACATAATTATACAAAAGGTGGCTTGCGGCAACGAAAGACGAAATCTAGGAAGAGGATGAGAGAATGGCAACTTACTTTTAAGTGCATTGGTATGGCGATTTCCTTTTGACCGAAAAATAGCTTCTGAAATCCCTCAGAACCAGGGTTAATGATTCCACCAACTGACGGTGTCTCCCTCCGTATTACAAACCTCAGTTATTACATTTACATCTTTTTCAAAAACTAAAAACTATAAGTAAGATCAAGTTCGAAGTAGGAAATGATACACACCGCAAAGGACGTCAAAATCGAGTTAGAAGCACCTGATATATCTTGCCAGTGGTAATGTTGTTATCCCTAGGTCCAAATCAATCTACAATTACAATTAAAGTTTAAACAAACTCAGCAGCATAAAGTTTAAAGATAAGACTCACACTCAACATGATACCAAGATAGAATCCAAAAATAAATTAAAGATATGACTAAAATTATTTGTTCTAATCGAACATATTTCCTAGTTTTCTTATCCAATTATACAATTGCAGTTCCTAAAACAAAAAATAATTAAAAAGTAATTTGCAGAAAGAAAATTAGAAAATTCGAACTTGACAACAATCTACCTTAAGAAACCCCATGACCGAGTAACAGCAACAACAACATTGAGACATAATTTGGTGAATATATATGGTGGACAAATTTAACAACTCTAGTACTGTTAACAAAGCTTCAACCAACAACAACAACAACAACAACAACAAAGCCTTTTCCCACTAAGTGGGGTCGGCTATATGAATCCTAGAACGCCATTGCGCTCGGTTTGTGTCATGTCCTCCGTTAGATCCAAGTACTCGAAGTCTTTTCTTAGAGTCTCTTCCAAAGTTTTCCTAGGTCTTCCTCTACCCCTTCGGCCCTGAACCTCTGTCCCGTAGTCACATCTTCAACCAATACAACATAAATCAAATCAATATATACCTGCATATCCTGAGTCCGAATTGTACCCTCGTGCCCTGCAATGCCTTGGTGAGCGACTCCTGCTTAAAATCCAAACACACATTTAACTTTAACAACACACAAAAAATCAAAACTCTCATCATTAGAAAACCAAAAGGAAAACTTGAAATTATATACCTGAAGCACAAATGGTTTGCAAACGCATATACAAAATTTTCAAAAAACAAAGATCACCGTTTCCTGAAAATGAAAAGAAAAGCAAATCATAGAGCCAAACCGAGAATCCGAACACAGAAATAAAATCCCCAAAGTTATGAAAACAAAATTTAAATGCAACACACATCTGCAAACGGAAGACCACCCCAAAAAAAATTAAATTTTGTTCGACAAAAAGCCCAAAAGAAAAGGTAGATTTTATATACACACCTTGAACACAAAGGGCTTGCAAAGTTGCATTGAGAGCCCCAAAATTGGGACATGAGCGTTTCCTGAAACCAAATAAGCGCACATATCAAACCCCCAAAATGAAAAAATAGAAAATTTAAAGACAAAATCCATCTGCAAATCGAAAACCACCGAAAAAAATTAAATCAGATACACTGGAAAAAACGCAAAACTCACTGGAACAACACTGGCGTGGAAGAGAAAAAAAACTAGGTTCGAAAATAAGCAGAAGGTGAGAATGGAGAAAGAGAGAAGCCAGCGGAAAGAAAAAGCTAAGAGCACTATTCGATCCGCCATATTAAACAGTAACTGCCTTAAATGAACTTAAATGAATAGTAATTACCATTAATGAACGGTAATTGTCATTTACATCTCCACCGTTGGAACCATCTCCCTAGCAATAAGCAATTAAAATAATAATTTTTTTTGTTTGTTTAAATAATAAAAAAAAACCCCTCCCTCTCTCTCTATAACACAAAAAAAATAAAAAATTGCAAAGCCCTCGGGCCACAGGCCCGTCGACTCCCTACCCCCCTTCGCTCGGGTTCCCACCATCGCTCGGCCTCCACACGGCTGGACCTCTCTCCATCGGGCCTCCGGCCCCTTCTTCTCCACTGTCCCCCGATGGGTGGAGTTGCTCTAAGAAGAGGTTGGAAACGGAATAATAGAAAAGCATAAATGAGTACGAAAACACGAATCTTTGTGTTTTTACGGGAGTAGTAGAAAATATTATTTTTTAAGTTATAAACTTTATAATACACATATCTTATTATGTATATAGTTACACGTGGTGTAATATTCCGTGTAACGATCATACTGAAAAATCTCTTGTTAAATTTAGGGATGTGATATCTACACATCTTATTTTACTTCTCACACACCTTTGTAATTTTCGGCCGTCGGATCGGATGAATTGAAAAAGATCAGCAAACAAAAAATATTAAGGGTGTGTGAGAAGTAAAATAGGGTGCATCGATAGCACATTTCTAAATATTTACATAGCGACACGTGGTGTACCATCCCGTGTGACGATCACACTGAAAAATCTCTTGTTAAATTTAGGGGTGTGATATCCACACACCCCATTTTACTTCTCATACACCTTCTTAATTTTCGACCATCAGATCGGATGAATTAAAAAATATCAACTAACAAAAATTATTAAAGATGTGATAAGTAAAATAGAGTGCGGATACCTAAATTTAACAAGAGATCACATTTTTCAATATTTTTTTGGTCTTCCCACCGTCTACACATGGGTTTAAAAAATTAAAAAAGTATAAAATTTTTATTTTTTGTTGTGCCACAAACCATGTGGCCAGGTTTTAATCATTTTTTAATAATTTTTTTGTCCTCCCACCAGTTACACATGGGTTTAAAAAAAGGATTTGGATTGTCTGCCCTCCTAGTTGTGATGCCCTTCTATTTTGTGCGGTCACGGTTAAATCAAGTCAATATTTTATATTTTAATTATTTTTTGTCTTATTATCTCATTAAAAAATTAATATAAAATATTAACGTAGCTTAACCGTGACCGCACAAAATAGGAGCGCATAGAAGGGCACCACAACTAGAAGGGCAGACAATCCAAGTCCTTAAAAAAATTTAAGAATGTATAAAGTTTTTTGTTTGTTGTGTCACAAACCACGTGGACCGGTTTTAACCACATTTGTTTAATATTTGTTTGTCTGCCCACCGGCTATATGTGACTTAAAGAAATGTTTTTTGGGTCAATGGATGGGAACGACCCATTTTATAATTGTTTGTAAATTTTTCTGGAAGTAGATGGAAAGGACCCAATTACATATTTCCCCTGCTCACAGACATTTGCATTGCACCTAGCAAACACCAGTTTTTTGTTTGAACATCGATCCCCTCATCAATGGCTCTTGTGAGAACATATCCAAGAATCTCCTCTAATTCCAACACTTTTCGGAGTTATCGCTACGACGTGTTCTTGAGCTTCAGAGGCGAAGAAACTCGCAAGACTTTTACCGACCACCTCTACACAGCTTTGAACAACGCAGGATTTCTTACGTTCCGAGACGACGATGAACTTGAGAGAGGAGAAGATATAAAGCCAGGACTGCAGAAAGCGATCCAGCAGTCACGAACTTCTATTGTCGTGTTTTCGAAAGATTACGCGTCATCCAGGTGGTGTCTTGATGAGCTTGTGCTGATCCTTGAACGCAAGAGGACCACCTCGGACCATGTAATTTTACCAGTCTTCTACGATGTCGATCCATCCCACGTGAGGAAGCAGACAGGAAGTGTTGGAAAAGCATTTGCTAGAAGCCAGAAACATCAGTCGCTGGAAAAGGTGGAGGGATGGAGGACGGCACTTGCAGAGATTGCAGACCTAGCAGGCATGGTCTTACAAAATCAAGCATATGGGTAACTTTCATTATCTCCATTTCTCTTCTCTTTCTTGGGTCAATTTGATGTATGATCCGTAGTGACATAGATTTTTATATATTTATTAATTCAATCTCAGTAGTGAATAATAATTCCAATTTAGGTCAACTTAAAGAAATCACACTCAACTCAACTTAAGGATTAGTCATTTTCCATGTTATCTACTGGTTTCCAGTTGCTTAATTTTTTTTGAAAGCTGGTGTGGAAAAAAGTTAGGATGTGATCTGTGATGTATTTGTCTATAGTTCGTATAAATTATGCGTTGTATTCCTTTTTTTTTTCAAATTAATTTTGTCAGCAGTCCTATTTTTTTTCTTATTTAAACAAAGGCAATCAACATATGTTTTAATTATCTAATTTCCCCAATTCATTTTTCATTTTTCATTTTGTTTGCAAATTCTTAGGTACGAGTCAAAGTTTATCAAAAAAATTGTTAAAGTGATAGGAGACAAGTTAAGTCGCACACCATTGAGTGTTGAACCAAAATTGATCGGAATTCAATCTCAAGCCGAACGCATCAATTTATGGTTACAAGATGGATCAAGTGATGTTGGTATATTTGTTGTGTATGGCATGTCTGGAATAGGGAAGACAACCATTGCAAAACATGTTTACAATTCAAACTTTAGAAGCTTTGAAGGAAGTAGTTTCATTGAAAATATCAAAGAAACAGCAGATCGACCAAATGGCTTAGTTCAAATACAAATGCAACTTCTTTGTGATATTTTGAACGGCAAAGAAGTGAAAATACACTGTGTTAGTCAGGGAATAATTAAGATTGAAAGGGCCGTAAGCTCTAGAAGAGTTCTACTTGTTCTTGATGATGTCGACCAAATGGACCAATTGGATGCAATCCTAAGGATGAAAGATCAGTTTTATCCAGGAAGTAAGATACTAATAACAACTAGGCGTGAAAGGTTGCTAAAGGCAGATCAAGTTACAGAGGTGCACAATGTTCAAACTTTGGATTACAATGAATCATTAAAGCTTTTTAGTTGGCATGCTTTTGGCCAGGACCATCCCATAGAAGAATACACGGAGCACTCAAAACAGTTAGTGCAACATAGCGGCGGACTTCCATTAGCTCTAAAAGTTTTGGGTTCTTCTTTATCAGGGGAAAGTATAGGTGTATGGGAAAGTGCATTGGAGAAGCTAAAAGTTATTCCTGATGGTGAAATCATGAATAAACTAAGAATAAGCTATGAAAGTTTAAAAGATGACCATGATCGGAAATTATTCCTCCACATTGCTTGTTTCCTAATAGGAAGGAACAAAAGCTACATTGTTAGAATATTGGATGGATGTGATTTCTATACAATCATTGGCATTCAAAATCTCATTGATAGATGCTTGGTGACACTTGATGAACACGACAAGGTGAAAATGCATGACATGATTCGTGCTATGGGAAGAGAAATTGTTCGTCAAGAATCAGAAGAGCCTGAGAAACGTAGTAGATTATGGCGCGATAAGGATTCTTTCCAAGTATTGAAGAAAAAGAATGTAAGAAACATGCCTTTTATGTCTATATTTGTATTTCATCTTGTGAAAATTATGCATATTAATGTCTCTTTTTTTTTCCTTTAGGGTACAAAAAAAATCCAAGGTCTTGTCCTGGATATGCGTAACCATCCTGCAAACAATCCAATAAACACAAATGAGATAGTCTTGGAAACCAATGCATTTGCAAGGATGTCCAATTTACAACTACTCCATCTTAGTCATGTACGACTGGATGGATGTTATGCAGATTTCCCTACAGGATTAAGATGGTTGTGTTGGCTTGAATTTCCTTTGGATTCTATGCCAATTGATTTTCCTTTGGAGAACGTAATTGTTCTTGAAATGCAATACAGTAGCTTGAGACAAGTATGCAAAGGAACAAAAGTATGTTACTCCATGCATTTCAATTCATTTTCCTTATTTTGTTAGTTTTCTATTTGTTGACTAACTCCATGTGTTAAAATGAACTACTATGTTTTCTTTAATTCGATGACTAATTTCTTATATTAGATACTTATTTCATTGTTCTTTTTTCTTTTTTTATTTTTTTTCTTCCTCTGTTTCCACAGTTTCTTCCATCGTTGAAGATCCTTGACGTCAGCCATTCTCATGGCCTTAGTGAAACCATTGACTTCTCACTTTTCCCCAATCTAGAGGAACTGATTCTTGTAGATTGCACAAGCCTAAAGAATGTTCACGAATCCATTGGAAACATGGAGAGACTTGTGTACTTGAATATGAAGGATTGCAAGAATCTTAGTAAGCTTCCGAAGAACATGTGCATGCTTAAATCACTTGAAACACTCATTTTATCAAGTTGCTCAAATCTTGATGAGTTTCCACAGTTTCTTCCATCGTTGAAGATCCTTGACGTCAGCCATTCTCATGTTCTTAATGAAAACATTGACTTCTCACTTTTCCCCAATCTAGAGGAACTGATTCTTATAGATTGCACAAGCCTGAAGAATGTTCATGAATCCATTGGAAACCTGGAGAGACTCGTGTACTTGAATATGAAGGATTGCAAGAATCTTAGGATGCTTCCGAAGAACATATGCATGCTTAAATCACTTGAAACACTCATTTTATCTGGTTGCTCAAATCTTGATGAGTTTCCAGTGGAGATGATGAAGAAGATGGAGTCTCTGAAAGTTCTCGAGACAGATGGAATTCCAATAAGTGAATTGGGGCCAGAAAGAAGTTCAACTATCTTGAGTTCTTTTCCATGCTCTTTGGTAGAGTTAAGTCTGAAGGGGTGCAATCTTTCTGATGATGTTATTCCTCCAGATTTAAGTAATCTATCCCACTTGCGAAGACTACATTTAGATAATAATCCAATTTGCAGTCTGCCAGGTTTC